TTTCTCGATTTTTTTCTAAACCATTGATTTAATAAGATTAAGAAATAAGATAAAACATTTAGTAAAATTTTAAATTCTATTTTATTCCTTTACTGTAATATTTTATTCAAATATCACTATTTTTTATCAAATAGAAAAGAAAAAGAATATATTTGTATAGTGTATAGTGTATAGTGGAAATCCATTTGTTTTCTTCGATTTCTTCTATAAACATCATATTTATTATATTGGAAGATCATACGTCGGAATAAATGTTTAAACAAAATATTATTTCGTTCTTCTCGAATATTTTTTCTAAATATTGCATAATAATCGATCGAATTTACGAATAATATCTCCATAAGTCTTGTCAGGATTTTGTGCAGGTAATTTCAGGCGTGTAACTGACACAATCGTCGATGGACAATCCGATTAAGCGGATTAATCGCTTAAACGTTAACAAACGCTCGCGCTTCGTTCGAATAATTGCGATTATCGCGATCATAAGTCGGTGTGCTGACTGATTTCTCTGCAGAGTAAAAATACGTTTCGCACTTCATCGTTCTATTTCCTTTCTATCTCTCCCTCCAATCTCTAACCTTCTTTCTCGCCCTCCTTCCCATTTTCATTTCCTGTTCCTAGCAGAGTCAAAAATGCGTAGCGCGCAAAAAGCTAGGTAGGTACACACGAGCATATCCGGCCAACAAACGATAGAACGCATGAGAACAAAATCGATCATTTATTATTTTTTGTTTGCAACAATAAAAATTGCAAAAAGAGACATGTTTGAAAAATTGTCCCGATTTCATAACGACGCCGCAACAATTTTCGTTAATTCTCAACTAGTTGCCTGCAGAAATGGTTGCGATACTTAATTTTATAACAGCACAGAACTCCAATTAAGAATTAACGTCCAGACAATGTGTGACAAATCTATCTCCGAGTAAACGCGTTTCTCATGCGATCCAGCAGATAATTGTTGGCCATGCGAAGCAGCATTCTGTTATTATATAGATATATAAGCGGCAGCGTACATAAATCTCCCGCCGCGAATTCCATGCCGTTGCAAGGTAATGCGTTTTCCGTCGGTTTCCTCTCGAAGACGTAAAGTTACGTGAGGTTTATCGACGCCAAACAACGTTTGGACGCGACGTCAAGAAACTCGTGCGGGCGAACTTTTTACTTGATTACAAATAATTGTTTTGCTTTGTGATTGCTTGCTGCAGCAGCTAAAACCCTTGACTCAAGTTGGGAAGCTCAAACTCCAGTGGATTCGTCACAACGTTTTCACCGTGTTTTTCATTGTCTTTTTATCTTCTCATTGTTTTTAGTTATCGCTTTTTAGAATGACTCTCGTGGTATTTGCGACCGTAAGTCGGAGTAGCGCTTCGATCCTTCTTTCATTTTTTTTGTTCGTCGTTTCTTTTTTTTCATTTTGTGTTCGCATAATTATATTATTAATTATAATATTCGTTCATATATCGTGTATTTACTAGAGATTTTGGTATTAAAGGGAAAGACGGGTAGTACTGTCCGACGTTAATTTCGCGCTCTTAGATGCGTTGTCTGTATGTGACCGTTTCGTTTACCTAAAACTAATTCATCGTTTAGCGATTAGAGAGAAAAATCCGTTCGAAAATAAGCCGAAGGCATCCCGATCGTTTCTCTCGTTCTCGAGCGCGTCGGGATCAGGGCATACCTGAGCTTTAACGAACCGTACCATCGCGAGACGACACGAAAGAAGGAGTTATCGATAACTTCTCGAAGGACTTTGCTCGTCTAAACAGGCTGAGCGGCTGGCAGCGAGTGGGACGAATCTGAATATCGTTCCTGCTCTTGGTGTCTCTCCGTACGAAGACATAGTAAACGGATCTAATTGCAATTTACCGATACCAAAGAAGAAGAAATATCTCGAAGACGAGGAGTGCAAACCCCGGGTCTCTAAGAGAAAGTATCGAGTATACTCTAAGTGGAATCACAATTGAAAATATTTCGCTCTCCTCTTCGTGGTGTCATTGAATCACTTAAATGGACATTTATAGATTATTGTACTTAATTTTATATAATATAACGTATGTATCTCTTTTTCTTTTTCTCCCTATGCGTATCTAATTAAATCTATATACATACTAAGTATGGGCACGGAGGAACTCGCTCCTATATCTTTCCCCATTCGTTTCGATGAATTTACATGTATATCCCTCTTGAGTTACGTTTGTAGCCATCTATCACATACTCAATGATACTTCAAAGACGAAAAAGTAAATAAAAAAATTACAAACGTACGAATTATCATGAATATTAAGAAGCGACAATATCAAGGGATGAAAATATTATTAAATGATTTCGAACACATGACTAGAATCACAGTGTCGAGAGAGAAGTATATTAATGAAAGGAAGAAAACGTGTTTGAAAGATTAACATTAAAATTTGAACGATTCGTCGCAAAGGAGTACATGTAAGTTATAAAACGGATTACTATTACACGCGTCTAAAACACGCTCTTTTCGATCGTCCATAGATTTGTTTAACAAACAAATTTGAAATGACGTTCCTAGAATCCTCAGTACTTTTATTCTGTCTACTCTAAAACCTCGAGAGTTATTTCTCACGCATTAATACTATTTTATGTACACGAGTAATTTACAAAGTTGAACTTCCAACTATATTCGCCAGCCTCGGATCTTTCCCTTCTAATACCAAAGGTGTATAATCTGTTTTTTCCTTTTGCTTTGATAAGAGTGTCCTTTGATTCTTAAATGCTGTACAGGAACATTTACTTGCTTAACTCTTTAATCACTCGTTTAATTTTATTTTTATTTATTATTTTATATCCGTAGACTTATACTTATTTTGTCGTTAGAGTACTTTGTTATATTCCTAAATTTCGTTTAAATAATTATACTATCATCAATGTGATCGATTAAACAATTAAACGATTAATGCATTAACTAAGTTTAAAAAAAAAAGAATATAATATTATCTAACAGTACAAAAAGGGAAGTTGTGAAGGATCCTATCCCATCATCATGACTAGTTCAAAAGTGCATTTTTCATTTCGCAATATATTTCGGTATGAATATTCGATAGATCATATCGTGTCGTTGGTCGGGAAAGTTGGTGTAAGCCTCTCCTGGACGGTAAAATGTCTTTCAAGTATTGCCACGTATTTGTAAGTGTTAGCATATGTAATGAAATTTTCAAAGTCTTAGATTGATGGCATACTTTATGAAATTAAACTCTGAGAGTGATTCTCCAGAGCAAATTCTATCGAGTGAGCAATCAGCCCACGAGATATTTTCAAGGAAATTAGATCCGCAAGCGTGCCTTAATATTAATATTTTCGACGTATATATGTATACCTTGTAAAAAAATATTGTTCAGAATATTTGTTTTTTTTTCTGGACGCGAGAATGTATCGTTTAAATTTTTTACTGTGGAAAGAAATGAAATTCGCAAACGCGAATAAATATATATATATATATATGTATATATGCAAAGTGCACGCGTAATCGTAGAGAGTTACCTTTAAAGATGCAATTAAGCGTGCACGAAAGAATTATCATGAAGAATGCATTTAATGACGAAAGACTCGATCGATGGAGGGGGGTCCTTCACGGGAAATGAATAATTATTAGATTAAAGGATATTAACGCAACAATTAAAGTAATTACGAAGGATCGCGTATTTACGAAGACTGAAACAACGTATAAACTTATTCCCTATCGATCGTGTAAACCTATACACGCGATCCAGCGGATCGATTGTTTCTTTTTTTTTTTTTTCATTTGTCTCGAAGAGCAGATATATAAAACGATTCCTCTCATCTCTCTCGGCAGCTTTCGTACGCACCAAGAATATCTCGCGATATCTCTTCTCGCGATCGCTCTTGTTTTATACTTCCAACTCTCCCTGAAGAGAGTCTACCTTTAATTAAATATAATTTCTTATCATATGCATATAAATTTGTCATATACATTTGTCGTAGTGTAATAATTAATTAGTGTTTACCAGCCTATAGAATGTGCGATTTTCGGCGTTTGCTCGGTTCTCGCGAATCAAGTAAGACGGTCGAAAGTCAAATAGCCAGTGTAAACCTCGTTAAGGCTTCCTATTCCTCTCGCGCGAGAGAATTGATCGCTTCGCAGTTTCTGAAATTTCGACGTTCCATTTCCGACCATTACCTCACTTCGCTCATCTAATTGCCGCCAATCAATCCGCCGATAACTATTATGCTCCTCTTCGAGCGAAATCGTTACACCCTCTCGCATATGCATACATATACATATACATGTCTCTCCTCGTACGTATATACACACAGGCGTTTACATTATTATCATAAAAACAAAATATAATTGAGATTTGTTATATACGAGTATAAAAAACTTCGTTATGCGTTCGCCGCGTTATATCATATCTCGTGTAAATTCTCTCATCATCTCGGTGATATTTTATCGTCGTTATATTTTGTATCATATACGTTTCTCTTCTTCTTTTTCTTCAAAATCAGTGTTCTTCGGTCATTTGTTTCATCGCGTTGATTCGCGGCCCCTAGCTAATCTACTTATATGTGATAAGGTTACGATTTCTTTCTTACGCCGAAATCTGGCGTAAATATATAATATAATTATATGTATAATATTAATACGCCTTTATAGAACAATATTTCGAGACAAACTCTCTTCGGATTTTCTAACGAGCATGTCTTGCATTGCGCGAACGTGCATCACACGTCACGGCGAAAGAAGACACTGAGTGCATGTCAGAAATTGGGAAAAGGAAGAAAATCGTAGGTATAAGAGAAAAGTTCTCGCAAACATAGAAAATAAAATCTATTATAAAATCTATTATAAATGTCAATCATATCTTTAAAACATAATGCAATTATTTCTTTCTATGATGAAAAAGAGATGAAGAAAGATCCTATACAGGACATTCCAACAATGTTACATCAACGTAATAGTGTGATAACATTGCTAACGTTGCAGTAATGTTGCTGTATAAGACAAGTGTCTTGTATAGTATTTTATATGATTTTTCCTTGTTTCTTTTACTTTTCAATCATAGGACAAGAATAATTGTACTCGAAATATCGATATCATAAAAGCAAGATTTCAGAATCGAAAATAAAACTTATTTTTTCAGCTTTTTGTTGCCCTCGAAAAAACTATTATTCATCGATTATTAATTAAGACCGAGAAAGAAGATCGCTGATGCGATTTCGCCATGTCAATGAGAAGAAACTTAAACGATACTGAACCGCGGGTTATTGTTCGCTAACTCGCTCGATTGCGAGAAGAATGGATCCCGATGTATTCAAGTTTCATGTTTACTCGCTGGGACAAAACGTTGTCATTGTTTTCTTGTCGATGCTTTACACTCATTCCGAAAGATCCAGCCTCACGAACGAGTTAACGAAAAAAAGAGTATCGTGAAAGTTGAAATATTGCTTCGGTTGCTACGAATTATTCCGAACCGTTTCGAGTTTATTTATCCTTACGCGATGGGAAGCCAAATATAAATCAAAAGAAAAAAGACGATATTAAGGAAGACTTTGCTCACTAGCTCGCTGCGATTGTAATACTTCGATGACATACAATCTTCGAATCATGACACGACGCAACGATTTACCGGACTGCTCGGTCTTTCAACTTCCACGATCCAATCACCCAAAATTCTTTCTCGGTTTCAGTCTTCTCTTTCGGCAACAACGTCTCTTACATATGCAAGAACTTTTGGGCTTATATGTGTTTTCTTCCTTCTCCGTTCCAACTTCATGCCGACAGAAACCTCTCTTCGGCTACGTTTTCCTACTCTTATTCTTCCTACCGCGCGCTATTTCCCCCCTGTCATCTGAACGTGCGTTCGCACATTCGTGCGTGTGCATTATAAGCATGTACATCGGAAAGGAATGTCGCGGAGGAATATCGACGTGCTGTTGAAGCTAAATCGAATCGACGACAAGAACGACGATGTTCGGTGTGCCTCCATTTCTTCTCAAACGCTTTGTTCGCCGGTGTCGCTACTGATGCCGCCTCGATGCACAATAATCCCGACATGTACGGAGATGCGTGTTCGCGCAAACTTATCGAGTCTTCTTCCTCGTTTCCTCTTGCGGTCCCAGCGCTAGCCGTTGACAAAAGTAACCCTAAGGCGAGGCAGACGATGCGATCGCCATCAGAGGCGCCGGCGGCAACGCGACCGGTATATGGTAATATTTACACTGAGGTCGCATGCACGCGCCCTTCACTGCGTCCCTGCACACCGTTACACGGTTGTCAATCACCTCCACGTTTCCTGAAAATTCATTACAAAATCAGGTCAGTCGATTGTTCATATATATCATTAGTAATTGTAAACATATCATCATATTGGAAACAATTCGATCGCTTCTTTCGTGCAGAGACTATAGTGTCAAAAATAATGTTCCATATGGAAAAAACAGTTTTATTATCTAAAAATTTAGCATTAGTTAGATACAATCTAAAAATAATTTTGTTAAACTATCATAATAATTATTTAGGACACTCAAGCTGATTATTATAATCAAAGCTTTTTGCAAAGCTCGTTGCTCATCACACTGTTTTTATTTACATAATTATTTTGATGATCCAACAAAATTATTTTTCAGATCTGTATCTATTTAAATTTTTAAATACTTCAGCAAAAATTGTTCTTTTCATGCAAAATCGAGATATTAATAGTTTTTGGGCAAATGTAAAAATTAAAATATGTTCTCCAATTAAGTACATCTATGAAAACTACACCTAATTATGAGTTTTAAAGCATCCTGTTTAAATACAAAATGTATAAAGTACAAAATCTTTACAAACTTTAGCTACTAAACAAAAAAGTTTAAATTTTTTTATCTATGATTTAGAAATTCATAATACCAATCATATAGAATGTACAATTATTCAAAAATTTTCGCTTTGGATCCAAATGAACCATTGCCATCAAGAAGGTTAAGTTTATGAAACTAATAAAAAAGCTTTATCGTTCAAATTATGAAAATTATTTTAACAGAATTATTATTTAAAGTATATTATATACATAAATTTAAACATATTTAAACGTATAAATGCAATGAGCACAAAAAGATGCTATCTCATACAAAACTCTTTTGATTCGTATAACAGTACAAATTATTTAATATCCAGAGAAAGACTTTAAAGAAACTTGACATTGATTGCAATATTCATAGAGTGCAATGCATAAATATTCTCAATCGTTCAACGACATCAAAGAAATTGATGCAAATTTGCTGCGATAGAAATACATTCGTTATTCAAGTGTATATTGTTTGCAATTGATTGTGCAAAAAGTATCGTTAATTGTTGGAGAATTGATGAGAAGCGTTTTCTCGTTCACATCTTGAGTAACATTACTTGCTCATTATCGCGAATAGAATCTAATTGACACGGCAGCTTGACAAAGAGGGAGAGTCTCATTACATTCGCAAAGATCATTCGCATGCTAAATGTGAAAGCAAGACATGCTGTAACGATGGCTTGTAATAATACAAAGAATAATGAAGGCACCGATCGACACCGCCAACGACGTCGCAGAACGGAAGTAAAATAAAAGCATGGAACGACAATCGGACTCCTCCAAGCGATAACATCGCGAATGATTTATTGTACGTAATTGCGACGCGTCTCGCACGCAGAGAGAATTGGCAAGTTCGCATAGAATCGATCGGTGAACGAAAGACAAGGCCATAATCGCCCGTTGCTTGCGGGGAATAGTTCCGTCGCGCAGGAATTTCAATAGCCGAATTTCTGCCGTCGTTCGAGACGCTTACTTTACCGAAACTGCCGATTTTATCGGAAATCTCGTTATTGAAATCAATCTGTGTGACCAAAGAGAAATTTGAAAATCGCCAAAGCGCTCAATGAATATCAATTAAACGAGTTAAATGTTCTTCGAGATATTGGCTCGTTTCCATGCTGCATTCAGCAGTAAACATAGTCATATGATTTCGTATTTTAATTTTTTAATATAAATCTTTCAATCAGTGAAACGCATGAAAATTAAAAGAGGTAAAAATATAAACACAATCTACAGCTCAATATCAAAGATTAACACATTTTAATTAAACGTATCTGAGAAAAATATAGATAATTAAATGTGACAACATGAACATATCGTAAAATATATGCAGAGAGAAAGATTTTGTTAAAGTAGCTAGATATATAGATCTAAAAATAATTTTGTTGGAATCATCAAAATAATAAAAAACTCAAACATGATGAGTAATGTTATAAAAAATGTTTATATTCTAGCAATCAGCTTAAACATTTTATAAAATTATTTTGATAGTCTAACAAAATTATTTTCAAATCTGTAACTATAGCCAAATTTTTGAACACTTTGGCAAAATCGTTCTTCCGTGTAACAATAAAAGATATGCCTTTATTGTAAAATTAATGTTTCTTATAACATTAATTATAATCCCAAATGGAACATTTTCTTCTATAATAGTTTCCACTTCACATAAACTGATAGTAACTTGTTTTTCATTTAAGTGTGCATAATCAACCTGTACTTCCCAATAACGCGCGAATAACTCACCATCACTGAGATGAATAAACTTGCAGGCGGGACGGTTGCACACTTGTCGATTAAAATCTTGGCACACCGGGAGGGTGTCCAGTAACTGAAAGAAAATGTGCCAGATACTCTTATAACGGATGAGATCGGCGAAAGGTGAACGATTTGCAAAAAAAAACTTATAATATCTCATATATACGCGCGCGCACACACGCACGCACATACACACACACACACACACACACACACACACACACACACACACACACATGCACTCTTGCAAGATTACTCTTATACATACACACGTAATCTTATCTCACATATCATTCTTTTTCGCATTCTCTCTCTCTTTTATTTAGGATTGCTCAAAAATAGTATCCGATAATTTAATCCATCTTATGATCCAGCATCTCGAAATGAATTTGAGAAGTGCTACAATAACGTTATACATTTATTCATACTCGTTAATCACGGAATTAGTTTCAGACATGCAAGACACTCTTAATCACTAGATAAGTGAGAAATATACATCAGTACATCGGTTCGATAATTTTCAACAAATATTGTATTTGTGTACTTGATTAATATCGTCGATAAACTAAATATCAGTAAATTGTATTAATTGAGTTGTAAGGAAGCATCAAATAATATGCGTTGAAGTCATAAAGTATCCATTCTTCTTTTTCTTACTTTAAATTTAGAATATTGATATATGTAAGTTTCCTGCATTCTTAGTAATTAAAAATATCGGGCCTTGGTACATTTTTAAGCATTCCTACGATCACTGAGATCTTCCGCACAATCAGATACTTCAGATTCTTCAGTGTTAGAGCATATTCATTACATGCTCTAGAAGACCAGTTTGTATATGGATATTAATTAAGTGCTATCGATGTGCGAATAATCAAGCGATCAGAATAATTTAAAATGAATAATTTCTCAAATGATATATATCATATTTTTGCATTGTGATCGATTTATTAAAGACAAAGTAAAAGACAATCGCCGAGCATTCACACATACGAATTAAGTGATAAATTTGCAGTAGAACTTTTGTTTTTTCAAACAGGATATTTCCTATTTTAGTATGTATATATTGTGGTGTAAAATTAAAATAATTCTAATCGACTGCAATAGAGTCTTGCATCTAATCGTGTTAACTCTAATCTCCGAATTTATTTTGTCGGGATGCAAAAATGGCTTGACTTGGGCTAGAATCAAGGGAAGTCATATTACGTTTATAACGCGTGCCGGTTGTGTGTGTGAGAGACACTTTCGTTATGCTAATCGTGATATTCCGGACACAATGTATGCAAGGAGCACGCCTAGAAACAAGGATATTTGATTCGCAAATTTCATCCGGAAAAATTATACCGTAAAGACTACGATTTCAACTAAAATTCAGCATAGTAATTGTCACGTTCGAATATTTATTATAATTTGGGTCATGATATATTTCATGTATAATTATTTAATACGTATGTATCCTATGCTGGTGAACATTATACAGAATTTGCGAATCAGGTTTGGAAGCCCTCTTCTCGGCGGGCCATATATTCAACACAATGACTAGACTGAAATTTTAGTATTAACAAAATACGCGAAAGCAACGGAAAGATTTGGTAAGAATGTTCGAATTTCTCTGCACCTCGCTCTTTTTCCTCTCTCCGTCACTCTCATATCCGGTCGAAAACGATGCTAGACATCGACATAATATAATATAAACCCGGTTCGCGCAAGAACGATAATTACATATATAAATGTGTGTATGTATATATATAATATGTACGCATGTATCATGTGATTGCGTATATCGCCAAAACGCACCAGATATCATCGGAGACAAGAAAACAGTTCGCGTTGAAGTCATATATTGAATCGTAAGCGAGCAATATATATTTTTCGCGAGCATGAATATAATTCCACATTTAACAAATAACATATGGAAGAGAGAAAGACATAAATGCGAATCGTAGAACATTGGCCATCGAAAGAATACGAATAAAGTGGACCCAAGTGGAAGCGGAAACTCCACCCAGCTACAGCTACTATATCCGTTCCTTTTATTACCCATTGACAAAAGATGTATGCATATTATATGTACACACACACGGAAACACACACGTACACTCGTATCTAGAAGAATTATTCGTATATCCGAAATATATATAAGAGACAAATGCAGCAAATAGATTAAACATCAAATTCCAGAGTACGGTTTTCGTGTTAGCAAAACGTTAGGTCAAAGCATTAACAACCTACCAGACAGATATACGAAAAAATAAATTTATAAAAAAATAATTAAAGAAATAAAGTATAATCACGCGAAAGTATACCATAGGCTCACCATAGAAGCGTGCAAAATATATGAAAATGTATCACGAAAAATGTAACGCTAATAAATTATTTCATCATATAATTCTCGACAAAAGATTATCCTGCGTACTTGTAATACTCGTGATAATAATAATGAAATTAATACAAAAGTTAAAGAGAGATCTTAAACATAACAGTAATAAGAAGAATAACATAGTCATAATAGCATTAATAGGCAACAATATAATAATAATCGTAATAATAACGCTAGTAATAAGTGGGTTTAACCATAATATTAACCATTATAATTATAATAAACAATTCTTGCAATTGCATAAGAGATAACTCGCTACGAACACAGAGTCTGGTCATGCAAATAATGGCCCGGGAGAAGGGGGATTGTTGCTTGGGTGATCGTCGGTGTTATTCGAAAAGTCGGCCAAATACCAAGTGTGATTAAATGATCGAATCTCTGTCTCGCGACGGAATGATGACGACGAGCGCGGTCGTGTATCAGCAATGATAATACAGTGTCATCACCCAAGCGTTAATGTGCTGCCAAAAGCCAGCTCATCGTCGATCTGGTTCGCGTGCGTGAATTACAGGACCGAAACACACACATCCACTCACTACTGAAGCTACGGAAGAAAAGAGTCCTCCGGGTGATCCACGCTAGCGAACCAAAGTGACAAGAGTGGCTGCAATGGCGAAAAGGGGGGATTGGATAATCAGCGGTTATCGGCAATATCGTATAATATGGATGTGGGATGTCGTAAGCCGTCAAATTAATAATATTCTACTGCAAATAAGTTCAACACACTATGTCAACTGCGACTCCGCAACCATAACGACAGAGCTAGCCAAAAATATGGGTAAGAAACTATTGTCGATAGATGCGCAGCGATCGGTAGATCCGATCAGTTTTCCGTGCGCAGGGAAAGCTTTGTCATAATGGAAAATGATTACTGGTTCGAATAACGGTCAGACGTAAAGCTCGCACGCGCTTCTTTATTCCATGCCCATGTATACTATTTTCTGTGCCTCACAGTCGGAAGTTAATTGCGTCGAAAGCAATCAGTGTGCAAGCGTAATAGACACGTTTTTTGACCAAAAGCGGAAATGAGCGATTCAACTGAAAGCGTGTATTTCTGTTCTAATTGTAAGTCATGGCAAAGATTTTAACTCTCAAATCGGTCAAAATCGATCTTTGAAGGCAAACATATTCGTCCTTTAAAATTACACGAATTCTCTTCACATCAGTTTGTTTTGACTTTTTGCATAACATCACTTTTCGCGGCTATATGCTAATTCGGAAGGTAAGACCACAAATACATTACTCATAAACATCCTAAATGGAAGAATAGTGTTATACGTCAATGTCCCGTCAATGTTTCGTTGCAAAAGTCCTTTGAATCTACATGTCGTAAATCACGCCATTGTCATTGCCCAATGAAAATGCAGACAGTTCCGACAAAATAACCTGCCAATTTTTTCAAAATTCAGAATATTTTATAATTATTTTGATACATCAAATAATTATAAAATCGGCGAATTTTTGTGTATATGCGACACATTTTTAATTCGCGGACATTGCGGAAAATATTATGAATTTCGTGTGTATATCATCGTGATGCATCGTGATACTAACCAGAAGATACGAGTTATCTTATAACTGTACTCTTTAAAAAAAAAGATAGATCATAATTGCTAAGGCTCTTCTTTAATGTGACTGGCTTAGGCTAAGTTGTTCCATCTTTCGGTAAACTTTAGCTTACTGTCTTACTTTCTTATTCTCTTATGCTTTTACTCTTTTTACTTTTTTGTTTATCCAATAAATGTAAATTACTACATAGTTTATCTGAAGATGGAACAACTAATTCTTAATTGGACAATTTTTAACTCTGAAACAATAAAAATGTTTGATGTTAAAATTGAAATGTAAACTTTTCACAACTCTCTCTCTTAAAAATTTCTTAACACAAAAAGATGTAATATGTGTATAAATATGAATTATTTTATAGTATTATTGTACAATATATTTCATACTGTAAAATAATTTACAGAACATATATATAATTTACAGAACATATATATAAAGTAACACGATTCTTAGTTTTATAAAAAAAGATATCAGGAAATAATTTTAATTTTTAATAGATATATTATAACTTAACACTTTTTAGTCAAATTTTTAGATACTTTGAACATTAAACAAAAACAGATGTTTAATATCGCGGAAATAAAAATCACCCAATTATGCAAAGCAATTTAGAAAAAAAGTGTGTTTAACAAGAAATATTAGCAAAAAATTCATAATTTCCGCATATGGATAACAAGTTTAAGTGTAGAACTCAGAATGTATTGCATACTCTCTGGTTTTTCGATATATATACGCGCTCCCTTAAGTTTTATAATATTAATGAGCATGCAGTATACACGCCCGACAGACATGTAACAGTTGTCCATAACGTAATTGCTACTTGCGATAAGATGCACTGCGAGAGAAAAAATAAACAAATAGATATTGAAGCGTACAAGGATGGAAATTGCTCTTAGACGTAGCATATTAGATTCAGTCGTAACGAATACAAAGAAATGTTTAAAAGACATCCCGACAATATCCTCATCCACAAATAACGCGCAACGTTAATCAGACAAGCGGTTCAAGACAATGGCATGATAGATATATAATAATATGTATATGTATAATATATAGATACATGGCAAACCGTTTAAATGGCAAAAGTACTAATCATACTAATTACTGTATAAGAAGCGTGCATCTCTTTCTTCGTGAATAGGTTCG